TTTTTTTTTTTTTTTTTTTTTTTTTTTATGTTCCTTTTAATGTGATTTTTCCTAACGCAGGGTTAAGAAGCATGTGCCACTGCCTACGTACATAGCGATGTTTATCTGCACCCCGACATGTGCCTGCATGCCGAACACTTATGGTCATGCACTGAGGGAGCGTAAAAACCTATATGGGTGTTGCGTAAAGGTGTGTGAAGGGATGATCCAATAAATATCAGCATACACACCGTTGCCTATTTTAAAGTGCCTTTCTCAAGTTCAATTTTTAAGGCCCCCCAAAAAAATGGATAAGGATAGGCACAAAGATGGAAGAAAGTTGGTAGAAGGATAGCAGAAGGGCAAAATATTATAGCACTTCTGATTCACAAGTGTACAAAAATTTTTTTTGACAAATTATTATTACTTATAAGGCATGTGTTTAAAAAAAATTAATTCACATGAACCTCCTAAGACATTCGGTATGGCGACAATTACGAAGTAAAGCGATGTTCAAAAAAAAGGAGAAAAAAATTTAATAACTGAATTTGAAAAAGTAAGAACATGAAAGTGTATACACGCGTAACCATATGAATGTCATATGCACGAGGTAGGTAAAGCAAACGTGCAATACATGAATAAATGAATAAGTAAATCGTCACAAAATGCCCCTTTGAGAGGGAGCACACTCGGTAGGTTAAAAAAAACAAAAGCGACGAGAACGGGAAAAAAACGCCTCATGAAAGATCACATCTATGTGCTCATAAACGGCAAAAAGGATCGCACGCGACAAAACACACATATGTTTTGCATAAATGAAGGAGCGCTTCACCATGCAAGCAAAAAGGAGCATACTTATATGACCAAAGAAATACATATGCTACAATGTTATGGCTCTCGTTAACGTAGTATTTTCCCATTATCATCTTCCCTTTTTAAAAACCTTTTTACATTTCCTCTATTTTTGTTTTTTGCAAACATTCGTAGTTTTCCCCTTTTGATGCTATCCTTTTTTATGGTTAATTTTTTTTTTTTTTTCTTCCCTGTGTTTGGTTATAGTGTCATTTATTTTTTGAATAAAAACACATAGGCGTTTAATGCATTTTATTTTTTTTTTCTTTTTTCTCACATTTGGCATACACTTTTTTTTCGTGTGGTTCGGAGGGCATTTTTTTTAAAACATCGCTTATTGTTTATTTTTAAACGTTTTTTTTTTTTTTCTTCTTTTGTTTTTATTTAAAATATTTCTTTTTTTTTTTAATAAAAATACCGTTATTTTAAAAATACTGCTTTGTCCTTGTCCCTCCCCTCCTGTTCATCGTGAAAAAATAATTTAACGAGTGAAAAACGAAAGCTACCTTTTTATCAACAATTTCGAAGAGCTGAGTCAGAAAAAAAAAAAAAAAACTCCTTATCTGAACGCATCCAAAATTCGAATTATTTTTTAAGCGGCTTACACACTAGTTTCTCGACGGTAAAAAGATTCCTTAAATTAGCAAAGCACAGCAGGGTGTAGAAGCTGATATTTTGTTTTATCCATCACACTTTAACCGCAGGCCGGATCATTACACTGTAGCTCCTGTTACACCTTTTTGCGCATCACTGCGGTTCTACGTCACTTTTGTGTAGAGAACAAAATTGACTAACCATTGAGGATGATATTTCTAAATAGTTTTACTTTGCAAATGTGACAAAACATTAAAACGATCAGCATGGAAAAACACGTTCAATTTTTTTTTTTGTTTTTTCGCTCCTTCCCTATGTTTCCAACGAATTATATCTCCAATCTAAGAGGTGCTATTTGAGAGGCTTCCGTGCCTCAGTCTTTTACCTTAAGAGTGCCCTGCACGATGTTGCTTCGGTTTATTCATTTATTCCTTTCATTTTGTTTCCTTCAATGCCTAGTCCATTTACGCACCGCGCCGATACACGTGTTATGTGTTCACCCAAGGAATCCAGTGGACGTAAAAAAAAAAAAAAAAAAATACACATATTGACATTATAATTTTGATATACGCAGACATGCATGGCGATGCATTCCTTTATCCTTTTGTACCCGTTCTTGTTCCCTTCAAGTTGGAAAAAAAAAAAAACAAGGCGCTTTGCTGAGGCCACGGGGTGCTTATTGTGCGTTTGACTCAGTACATATGTAGAGGGTATAATAGATGCCGCGCCTTGTAGCACATATGGCCGCACAGCCCCACTTACACATACGTTCGTACTACGTTTAAAATGCCCAGTTTTATAACACCCTTTTTTGTTAGAATGTTTGGACAACGCGGTTCGGTAAAATTCACTCAACGTGATTGCCACGAGGCGGGTTGTATCTGGAAATGCCAGAGTGGAAAAAAAAGACACAACAAAGGCACAAAAAAGTGTACAAAACAGGGTACAAAAAAAGGCACAAAGAAGGCGCAAAATAGAGCAGCGCTCATGACAGATATAACGAATTATTAAAGACAGGCCAGCGTACAAATGCGATGTGTGCACATATGCACGTATGTATAGCACACGCATGTGTATGGACACACGCGCGCACAAAGGATAAGACGCGAAAAAGCAACTCCAAAAAACATACCTTCAACAACGTACGTATAACAAATTGGTGAGTAAAAAAAAAAATGTGTTAACCTTTGTCGAAAAAACATTTCCCTTTGTTCTACGCATTTTTGCGCTTGTAACTGTATGCTTTTCTGAGCAGCTTTGGAGGGAGACAGAGATAGATGCTTGGCATCACGCGTCTTGTCCTGTTATGCTAGTGCTTCTTCCCAAACGAGTGCGCATAATGTGTGTATGGGCACGCATGTAAATATGCGCATCGGCATATACATGCGTTCGGGGAAGCTTTTTAAAGTGCGCTCGTGCACCTTTCCACTGCCCTCTAAGAATTCATCCTCCTGAGCATTTCCTGTTGTCGACTTTTCAAATCTACACTCTGAAAAAGCATTCTCGTTTTTTCAATGGTCTCCTCAAGATACTTGTGAACCATATCTGAGCTCCATTCGGCTAGCTGCCTTGACGTTTTTATGTCGTCGTCGTCCTGGCTCTCCTTTTTTACTTTTGACAAAGTTTCATCCTCAAGGCGTGATATATTTTCGAATCCCACTTCCAAGTCGGAGTATATTGGGTACGCCTGTATGTAGCCTATATATGGGGGAGAGAGCGGAATTCCACACATGGAGGGACACATGCACGGTGTAGCGGCGTGGTGAACAAGGAATACTTTATCACGTTAGTACGTTAATGCAGACACGAGAGGAAAAAATATATTAACGCACTCGCACTTTGGACAGCTTATCCCCCCATGCACGGCACGTTTTGGCACGGTTACCTTTTTCTCCCTCCAAGTACAACCTCCTATTCTTAGCGCTCTTTTTTTTTTCGAAAATTTTCTCCATCCCTATGTCATTTTCCTTCTCAACTTTCATATGCTTCGTCGCTGCGGGACGGGGGGGACAGTTTGTACACACAGCTATGTTTTATTTTTTCGGGTCGCATGGCTCCGTTGCCCCATTGATCGGTTTGCGAGGATGTATATCCTTGGGGGGTACCACTCTCGCACTAACCGTTTAGCCACTTCCTGTCATTCATTTTGACCACCTTTTCATTTTTTCTCTTATTTCTTGAGATAAATTTCAGGGATATTTTATTGTCCAGTGCTTTGGCGTCATTCGTTTTGATGACCTTATTAGACGCGTTCTTCGATAGAGGCAAAGGCACATTATTGCCTATCTTACTACCGTTGTCATCGCGTAATACATGTGTGCAATTATTTACCTTCCCCAAATTCGGCTTCGTTTCGTAATTGTTCATGCTTATAAGTTCTCTTCTTCGCATGTTGCTGTGCAGGTTTGAAAAGGACACCTTTTTATTTCTTTGAATGCACGTATTAATGGTAATCCTTTTAAAATCATCCATATCGTTACGCAGTTTATTTATTTTAAATCGTAAATTTTTCATTTTGTCATTCCACTTATGACATAACTCGTCCATGGCGATTTTCTCTAAGTGGACCTTTTTCGAAAGTTGGCTAGCCAAATAGAAAAAGGATACATGGGTTGTTCCAGGAAAAAAAAAAAAAAAAAAAAAAAAAAACACACACACAGGTATGTTTACCCAACTGGGACAATAAACAACAAAAAAAAATACGTGTAGAGTTAAACAACAATCTGCTTATTTAGCCTTTTTAGAAAAATATTACTTTTACAATATGTGTGCCTTCACAGGGACAACGTTGAGAGAACGTGTGAAACGTTCTTTAGGAAACTCCACCGCCGTTCGTGATAGATTAATGGAGGGGGGAAAGCTAACTATATATGATGGGCAGGCATACGCATATTTTATTTATTTTTATTTTTTTTCTCAACATGTACGTACAGCGTTTTCACACGTTGGTCATCCCAAACATGCGCACATGTACCAACGAGAGAATGTGTACCCACTTCCCCAGACTCATTCCCTTCCTTGCACATGGCTTCTCCTATTGTTTGACTCCCCACCCCTGGAAGCAACTACTCCCAGGAACAATTTCTACATTTGTACTTTTGAACAAACACATCGCTAAGGCTACTACTATTTGAGGAAGACGTGGAGGAATAATTACTCTCAATGAGGAGTCCTTCCAACACGATGAGGACATACGCATCGGTGGCTGCGTAATGTATTTGACTCTTCATTAGTGGCCTCCTGCTCCAGTTGGATAATTGTAATTGTTTATTTAAATTTTTACCCAGAAATTTCTGGCATAAATGATTCAAACTTTTAAAATGAACCTTCGTCTCAGTGGAGTGACTCGGACATACATTGATCGTTCCCCCGAAATGGTCACCTTGTCCATGTTTCACCCTACCCTTGAAGTTGAGAAAGCTACTTGTTGTCACTTCTTTAAATAACTCAATGTCATTCGTCTCAATTATATTTCGATTGAACAGTTCAGCGGAGACCACACCATTATCTGGACTGTCCTGAGTAGTGACCCCACTTCGCTGGTGCAAAAATAGAGGGTCCTTCAGATCTGTCACATTTAGGTAGGTACACAAAATTGATATGCCTTGAAAGAATGAATTTAATATACGCATGTCACAGGTGAAGTTGAAAAAGAGCTTACAGATGAATGGATTTTCAAGTAGCCACTTAAAAAATGAATGAATTAATATTTTATAATTATAATCCACAGTTAGCAGATCGATTAGGTAAATATGATTCACTGTTGCTAGTGAAATGATTGTAGCCTTTTGGTTTCTGTTCCATTCAACATCGATGCCAACGTAATACTTTTTTTTCCTCACCCTCAAGTGGTTATTAATATCTTCTGCAGTTATTATGTCCTTACAGGACTTGGACGTATACAGGCTATCGTCGTTGTATATGTCATACATCCAGTGTTTTTCCTGACCCGACTTTATCGTTTCTATCATCTTATTCAAACTGTCTACATTAGTTACCATTGATATATTTTTCATTTCCTCGGGTAGCTCATAGTATTCATTGTGTGGGTGGAGTGACTTGTTCCCCCATGTGACGCAATTTCGGTCTTGACCTTCATCGTTAAGGGTTCCGTCGCTGAGGGATCTGCCTTTCGAGTCGTCCTTGTCCATTGCCTTCCTTCGCAGTAGGTACTCCCGCGCTGCCAGGTATCCCCAGTAATCGGAAAAGAACCCTGCATAGGTTAAACGTGAAAGGTGAGAGGTGGATGCTAAGCTGTGCGAATTACACGGCGAATCACGTCGACAAAATGCGCTCTTCCGCACAGCGCAGAGGAATGAAGCGAGAGACCCACCTGATGCTTCATCCACAGATGTCAGCCACCTATAAACATCCCTCTTCAAATCGTCGCATTGTAGAGCATCCAAAAATAAAAAGAGACAATTCTTGGACTTCGTTTGTAGTATATACTTTAGCACAATCCTGCAGTTATAAGAGCTGTCTTCCTTAAAGGGGGAATTAAAACCTATATTCTCATCAGACAGAAACAAGGAAGCTAAAGAAATGGCTTGGCAAAGGTGCGTCCGGTCGTTTAAAAAGTTACTAAATAGATAATCCACATGTTGAGGAGTCAACACTTCCCTCAACAGGTGGCGATCAAAAGACAGGCAATCTAGTATGTACAAGAATTTTTTATACTTAACAATATCGCACATCAAATTTGGGTCTAATATGTCCTTATGTCTTTCATTATTTGTAAAAAAAAAACATAAGCTGTTTAAAACAATTTCCTGGATGATGTTTTTTTTATTTTTCCTCAAAGAAGGACTAACACCTTTTACAACTTCGTTGTTAAAAATGCAAAAAATATACTCCCCATATTTTCCTTTATCTGTAAATATCTTGTGATAACACCTGATCAAGTTGGCGTACACATTTTTTATGTTATCCTTATATTCCTCTGCTGTTTCTACATTCTTAAGATTCACAAATTTTAAAATGAAGAAAATTAAGTTCGCTGCAATGGCCTCGATTTCTTTATCCTTGCATAGTGCGGGAAGCACGTCGTAAATTTCTCCCTTCACGTAGACCTTGTTGGTGGTTGAGTAACAATGGCTGCATCGCTGCCTGCTTGAAAGGAGACCCAAATAAGCTGCCATAAAGGGGTTCCCTACTACCTTTTTTAAGTAATTATTGCTCCCATTCCTTAACCCGTCCAAGCAGTCATACACATGCAGTACGACACATTGGTCTCGGCGAAATGGTGAACTCGTCTCGCGCTTCACTTCGGGGGTGCTTATCCCCCTCGAAAGCAGAGACTGAGGTAGAATTCCTCCACTACATCTGATCACACAAAAAGGAGGTTGCCGCTTCGCCTGCAGTTTGATGCCCCATTGTTGCATATTTCCCGATCACCACTGTTCATACCGAGGCGCTTTGCTTTTTCTCATCTAACAGGATTTTACAAAAAAGTGGTAGAGCCAAGCGAGGGGGCAGAAAAGGAGAGAAATTGTTTTTATTTCATTTGGGGTCATAACTGCGGGGAATAGTTTATTCACATAATGGTGCCCGCGGTTAGGTCACTTTTTTTTATTTTTAAAAATGGCGTGAAAAGAAAGGGCACACATATTTTTAGCCTACGTGGGGCTAATACAAAGTGACGAACATAGAAGAGGACAATAAGAATTACCAATTGAGATGAACCAAAAGGGGCAACTTCCCACAAGTAGAAATTATTCCTCATAGTGTAATCCTCACAGATGTTGTTTTTCCGTAGAACGTGTGTGCACTAGCGTTTGTTTTGTTCCGCTTCACCCGCTTCTTATTCTTTCGTGACATTTATTCTTTTCCATGTTCACTGTTTTTCCCACTTGCGCAAAAAGCGCATTCCATATTTTATCATTTTTTGGGCATTACATAATGGCGCCCATTTTTTTCCACCGTTTGTAATCGCTATGTCGAACAGCTCACTCTCCATTTACGACACATGATACACAAAGCTATCAACAAAAAATGAAGATTAAATGTTTGTATTTAAGATGGCTCCTAATTTTTTTAAAAATTATGAACAAACAAATATATAAAACTCAAAATTTTACATAATGAAACAAAACTGAAGACACCACCCCCCCTGGTGGAGGAAAAGAACGGAGGGAAAAGCTGATCACCACCATGGTGCCATTTCTTCGTTCGCTTCGTCATATTGGGGGTGTGAAAACTGTTAATTAGGAAAAAGAAACTGAAATGCATATGCGCGTGCGGGGGGAGGGACACACACACGCACAGCTGCAAAGTATAATTACAAATACAAACGCGTAGAAAAAAAAAACCAAAAAAAAAAAACAAGCATGTATACAATACATAAAAATACAAAGCGGAGGGGTTATATCACGGAAACGCCGGGGGAAGGCAAAAATGGACAAAATAAACTAAATTAAAAACACTTAAAAAAAAAAAAATAAATTTGTTTAAATGCAACGGAGGGGGGCAATTCTCCCCGGCTAGGAATTTTCTGAAGTGGGCCAACGCAGTAAAGCGGTGTCACCTGCACGCCCGTAAAAATTTGTCTACATGGAAAGAATCCATGTAAATGTATGCAGGTGCAAACCTATGCAAACACAACCCCACGCGCAACGGTGGTGATCTAACACAGAATCGCTGCACGATGGCCACTGCAAAAACGGAAAGCGGCGGTCGGAAAATTATTTACCCGAGTGCTTAAAATTTCGCAACTCCGTGGAGACGCACTCTGGTCTACACCCAGGCGTAACAACTCATTCGTTTTAAGTCTCGCTATCACCTTTGGGGAATTCCAATTTGCGCTCTCTTCTATGCAATTACGTCCTCTTTGTTGAACTGCGATACATCTCACGCACCTTCTTCTGCACAATGAGGAGGACTCGATTAAATGGCCTTTCCGCAGGCAAGTTTCCTGCCCGTCCCCCTCCTCTCTTGGCAACACGATGTTGTGTCTTAGGAGTGCACCGGATAACATGTGTCCACTGAAAGCTGCTTCTCTGAGACAAAATGAACCTCGTGGTTGTAAAGAATGTCCTCCTTTATATTCGTGGTGATGAGCAGTAAGTATGAAGTATGCTCATTCTCCAGCTGCACCAACGGAATCAATACAGAATTAAATTTGATGTAGTAATCGTATGCACAAGTAGAAAGGGGGAGTATGTCATAGCCTGGTCCACCATGGATGTTGCATTTCTGAACAATCTTGTATACATATCTATTATGAGAAATGTAAGAGTTAAATAAATTATTCTTCATAACATTTCCAGCTTCCAAGTCGTTCGCACAGGAGTCTGTGCTACCGACAAGCTTGTAAATATTAACAAATGGAATCCCCTTAATTTTCATGTGTTCAAAGAAGGTAATTCTAAGTGAGAGCAGAGTCACAGATGTGGCGTGAAATAAAATGATGGAATAATTTTTTAAAGAGTATAAATGTACTTGATGGTATTTGAAAAAGGAAAGCGGAGGAACGACATACGAATATGGAATAAAATGAAGGACTGGCTTCTGCTTCGACTTAGGGTAGTGAATACATATTTGATAATCTCCCGTAACGTTAGGTCTATATAAAGACGGAATGAGGCAATAAATCCCACTTTCCAATGTACATTCAATGTAGCAACAACCAGCTTTGTATGCCCCACTGGATATAATTTCTCCCTTTTTTAAACTCCTTGGGGATGATGTCATACCATTGAATATTCTCAAATTAACTGAATGTTCTTGTGAGCACTCGAGGAAAATACAAAATGTAGAATCCTCGGGCACATAAAAACGTATGTGAGGGTTTCTAAAGTAAGACCACAAATTGTTCGAGCAACCTCCTGCACATTTACTTGTCCACTGTCCTTTGAAATAAAGAGAGTCGTAATTCTCTGGTAGCATTGGTGGTAATTCATATAGGGACAAATGCGTATGACTAAATACCTTCAACGTAAAATTAAATTCTTCCTTCTGTGAGTACTGCGAAACGATTAAGACAAAATCGATGATTCTTAAAATTTCCTGTTGACTATCTCCAGTTGAATTTACATTTACGTTCTCATTATTGCTCTGTGTGTGTCCTCCGGCCATATTATTTGGATTACCACCCTGGGGTTCATCAGGAGGGTCCTTTTTCGAGGAACTCTTCTTAACAAGGTAATTATTAATACATTCATCTTCACCTCCAATGACCACTTTGGTAAAGGTACATTCCCCATTGGAGTATATTCCTTGCTTAATTGGAAACAAAGGACAAATAATTCTGTCCTTTCCTGAATGGATATGCAGTGCTAGGTACTTTTGAGAAGCGTCTGCTTTTCTCTCCCTCACATGCTTCGATAGAAGGATCCATATTTCTATTGGCTTCTTCCCTATATAGCGTAAACCATCTTCTGATAAATCCTGTTTCTTCACATTTACGTGCAGGGCAAACTGAGGATTGTAAGCCACCAGGTGGGTGTCATCTTGCAAAATGGAGCTATTCAAGTACGTGCTGTTCTCCCATTTTGTGTGTATTTCAAATTGGTACGGAAAGATAACACTATTCCAGCAAATATATATATGCGAGAAATATTTCACTACATCTTTCCAGGGGATCCAAAAGCAACCATCGTCTTTCCCTTTCGCCTTCTCAATAGAATAGTTCAACTTTTTCTGCACTTCCTTTGTCCACGTCGTTTCATCATGATGAGAGTACTTCCCCTTCCATCGGATGCATCCCCATGGGTTTTTTATATAGAGCAGCTTATCCCCGTTATAGCTTTCGATGTTTAAAATAGAGTAGGCGTGTCTCGTTACAATTCCAGTTGAAAGGGAAACCCCTTCTGGGTAGTCCAACCCGGATGGCGCAGCGTCCTTTAATTCTAAGGTACCCAAACATACCACACATTTCCCTTTTTTTATTCCTTCGTAAATATTATTCCATATGATGTCCCACTTCTCATCATATTCTTCATATTCTTCGTCCATCAAAACGGAACTCTCTCCTTTTGCATTTAAATAGCTGTACTGATCGATTGGCCCACACACATAGGAAGACAGATCCATGCTACTCACTGGTTCGCACAGAAATTGGTTCGTATGTCTCATTTTAACTTCGTAGTCGGCCATCACTTCCTTCGGTGCGTCCTTTACATCGTCTCCGTTTCCTACGCAGCGTGGGATTTTCTTGATACTCGACAAAGTGCCACGCACGGTATTTCCTTCAATAAAAGTTCTCTTCAGTTGTGTCTGCTTGGCCGCCGTGCCACCAACACCACATACCCTTTTAATGGTGCACTTGGGTCCTGTCCCTGTCATGAGCGATGTTTCCTTCCTGCTCCATTTTTGCTTCTTCCTGTTCTCCGTTGTATACAAATGGCGCAGAGTCCAATACACCTTCAGCTTTTCATACTTTGACCAATCAACACGTGTTGGGTGCCAGGTTCTACTTTTACCCAATCGGTGGATGCTTAAATTGGCTCCCACGGGGAAGTCATACCGGGGCTGCATCCTGCCCCTTTTCGTGTATACTTCCTTACCTGCACTGCGTGTCGCTGTATTTTGGCCACCACGAACGAAATTGTAAAGACTCCGTTTACGATTTATCACATTTTTTCTCTCCCTCTTTTTGACACATCTTCGAAGTGCGCGTGCTTCGCTCCCCATCGCGCCTCGTACAGTACATGCACGTTTGGGGTGATTCGCCACCAGGGAGCCATCACAAACATCCGCAGCAGAAGCGCAGACCTCATTTACCGCGGCGTGCGCTGTCAGGCGATCGAACGAAGGAGGAGAGCTACTTATCTTCGACTTCAACGAAATTGTCACGGGGATCCAACCAGTCAAGTAATACAAATCGGAACCAGGGTTAGACCCATACATGGAGTATGAACCACCCATGAGTTTAACAAAAGCTTTTTCAAGCAAAGTCACCCAAAGCTCTTTCTGATTATTCGAATAAGCAACTAGCAAAGAATTGTTACTCTTCACAGGCACATAATCATCAATGATAATTTTTCTTTGAATTCCATTACAGTGTAATCTACAGATATACATTCCACAAGGATTAAAAACTGGCCAATTTTTATTCGCATGTACATAATTAGAGGTACATGGAGAAATGATATTTGACAGGACGGGGACTTTGTGCTTTCTCTCATATTCAATTAAAACAGTTAAAGAGGATAAAAAGGAACAGTCTGCAACAAAGCCTTGTCTTATACAACTATTATACAAATCTGTTGACATAACAATAGGATTGCTATACAACTCTGATAGCCTTTTCCAACAGTCGAATTTTTTTTTTTGTCTTACACTTAATTCTAAGTACCCATCAGGATCTGTCCACTTGTAATCTACCCATCCGTACAATTTAAAACAATTAACATAATGATATATGCATCTTTTTTTGTGACACTTTCTACACACTATATAATTTTTCTTTATCGAACTTTCATTTAAGCCATACTTATGTTCGCAAATTTCTTGACTGTTTTTTTCTTCCTTCAGATATTCTCGCTTTTCTAATTTGTTGCTAATAATACTTGTTTTTCTTTCTTCCTCAACTTTATCATATTTTGTGTTTTTACCGCTACATATTTGGTACCTTAACTTAGGATCCTCCATCTGTATGCCCCTCTCACCATTATTACTTTGTTTTCTGTTTCCAGGGGTCACATCATTGTAAAGCATTTTATGACATTCTACTTGTCTTCTAACTCGTTTCAACACTTTTGCGTTACAATTTGTGTCTCTCTCTGTTGCATATGCAGTGTAATTCTCTTGGTCTTCTCTCCTGATGATATGTCCCCCATCGTGGGCTTCCCTATTATTATTGCTACACCTGGGGTACCCTTCTTCCTTCGCTTCTTTTTCTCCAACATGCCAATTAATTCCGTTCAAATGATTTTCCGCCATGCTAATTCTAACTGTCTTCTTGCATTTGTTTTCATACGTTTTTATTTGCCTCCTGTTCCCTTCCTTATCCGTGTCTACTCTCGATTCGATGCTTCTTCCATTCATTGGTACCGTCACGTTATTTGTCACAACGAACTGCGGATCGGATTCTCCCGTTTTCCCCCTCATCACATGTGTGCAATTTTCTCCCTTCCTCGTCTCCTCCTGTACCTCCTGATAAATACATCTTTTTTCTGTTTCGCCTTTTTTCTTTGCTTCCATTCTGATAAGCGTTTCCTTTTTGCCATGTCCTATGGCTTCCATGTAGTCTTTACTCGTGCTTATCATTTGGGCAGTGAAAGGGATATTATGATTTCTCTGTTCTTTATTCATCTGTGCATTTTCCACTCCGTTGGTGTTATGTCGAATGGGTCCTTCGCCCTGACCTTTCTGTCCGTTGTCCTTTACAACCCTATTTACAGCACACTTTGTCGCGTAATTTTCCGTTTGAACGGTTACACTATTCTTCTTTCTTGGTTGGTCCCTTTTCCTTTCTCTGCCTTTTAACGATGCTCTCTTCCCTGCGTCAGCAGCTTCATTTTTTTTTGACTTTTCCCTATGCGTGCGAATTTTTCTACGTTGAGCGTTTGTCTCATTAATAGCACCTCTATTTGCTCCCCCATTTTTCATACTAACAATTTCTTTCTTATACCTCCGCTTCTTAACAGGTGCGGTAGAGGTCTTTCTAAGGTTCAGCTTGAATAAATTGTCCATGCTCAAATTTCTGTTACTAACATACTTTCTCTCCTTCTCCCTTTCTGCACGTCCATTGTACAGTCGTAGTTTCTTCTTTAAAACATGTCTCGAAGTATTTTTCAATGTGTGTTTATCGTGGGGTGCATTGCATCTCTGCGCGCGCTGGTCTGCAATCGCGCTGGTCTTTTTCTCCTCACCGGCATTGTCGTTTCGATTGATGAGGCTCCTTCTGCCATTGCGCCCTTTTTCTCCGCTCCCCCTGTGGTCATAATTGTGGTTGAAGAACCCACAGAAGTTGACCCCCTGGTCACGCGTGTCCTCTGCGGAATCCCTTTCCATCTTCATTTTTTTATCCGAAAAATGTTTCACATGTTTAATATACGAATTATTCTTTATGTCGGGATCGTTCTCAATCCAGGGCAGTATTATGTAATTTCCTATCAAGGAGCTCTCGAACAAAATCCTGGACGCATGAACGTTCTCGGAGATGTGGCTGGGCATTAGGGAAAACAAATTGAACACGTTTGAATTAAATTTGTAAAATTCATAAATATGCAGAAAGGTGTTTTTTCTCAAAATGAAACTTCTAAAATCGTGATAGTAGAGTAGCTGTTCTTTATTCTTTCTAATGGCCCTCATTAGCAGTTCTTCTTTTTTTTTGCTGCCCAGGCAGTTGTAGCTTTCCTTTGCTTTTTTTCTCTTCCGTTGTGCTAAGATGGACTCATTCAGAGGAACGTATGTATCTTCATTTTGTGCTTCCTCTGTGCATATATTACCCTTGCTCGTTTTGTACAAAAATTTAATTTTTTTGTTTTTAAAAGGAGTTGTGTTCTCTACATTGGACGGCAACTCTGCCTTTTCTTTTCTTCCTCGCTCTGTGGATTCCCTCTTTATGAGTGTGTTATTTATCGTTTTTATGATTCCCGTAAAGGAGTTGTTATCAACATTGTTCTCAATCCCTCCAACCTCGTTGCCCTCGATTTTGTTCCTCTCGACTTTGCTCCCTTCTGCGTGCTTCATTTTGACCTCTTTCAGCGATGTTTGCATTTTTCCCCTTGGCATATTGCCATCTCCCTGGTGCGCATCACATATGCTGCCTTGTTCATTCCTCCTGCCCTGTCCTCTTCCTTCACCGCTCTGTGTGTTTTTTATCCTCTCCCTAGATTGGTATCCCATTGAGGGGAAAACATCATTACTACCACCACACGGGTAGACATAGTGGTAGTCGCTCTTTTCATTTTCAGGATCACTACTGGCGACCCACCTTTTAGCGGACGCATTACTAGACACACTGTTCCGCTTATCATTATAACTACCTCCTTTCTCACTCCTATACGTGTTGCACCTTCCCTTCGACTTGCTATATATCTTCAACACATCGTTGTTGACGTCGCTGTTGAGTGTGTCTTCCTGATTTTCTTCTTGCCTTCTTTCATTTTTCAACTTACTAAATCTACACCCCATATCATTATATAAAATTTTCTCATTTGAACTGTGTAGTCATATGGCGTGATACGCTTTTGCAAGCACTCTGCTGTGTGAGAGGTATCCCCTAGACCGCTTTGGTAGAACTTATCGGGACAAGAGACAGCAGAAATGAAAGTAGAAAAAGGCACACAACACGCGCGATGGGAAGCGGAGAACAAAATTAGCCTCGGCTAAAATCTCTACAGACAGCTGTAGAACGAATTTAATTTCCCACGGACACACTTACGTATATGCATACAATACATGCAAGTAAAAACGTACATACATTTGCACTATTCGTTCAAAATATGTGGGCAAAAATGGCACATGTACTCCAGGGGATACACATTCGATGGCCTTTTTTTTTTTTTTTTTTCACCTGACGTCAAAATTGGCATAAACCATGTAGGAGAAAAAAGGAACTTGCCTGTTTGTGCAGGTTTGTTTTTGCTTAGTTTGTGCGCAACAAAAGGGACATATATAGCATACGCAAACATACTTTAAACGTGCATGTTATATTTACACGTTACATAAGGTGCATATTCCATGTGCGTACATTCCCCACCTGCATACGCGTATGATGATGGCTAAGCACATAGTCTAGCAAAATGCTACATTATAATTAACATCACATAAGAGGAATGGGAAAAAAAAAATTATGGAAAAATGAAGAGGTGACCAAATGACACAAATCGTTTTTCCTTCAAAATTTTAATCAAACAAGTTTTTCCCACTGCACAAATTGCTGTTCATTCTTCAAAAATGGATATAAAAAGAAAAATGCAAAACTTTAAAATGATGGGAAGAAATACTACAAAATTTGAGAATTTGTGAAAAAAAAAAAAACAAAAAAAAAAAATTAACACTAAAGGATATATACGTGTGGGTGGCGCGCAACAGTTGTGAATTATACTGCCAATAAAGGCTAAATTATTTTTACATGAAACAGGTGGCCGAGTGGCAAAAAAATGTGCAAAAAAAAAAAAAAAAAAAAAAAAAAAAAAAAAAAAAAAAAAAAAAAAAAAAAAAAAAAAAAAAAAAAAAAAAAAAAAAAAAAAGGAAAACAGCGTTTACCCAGCGTAAACACAGAAGAAAATGGAATAATTGTGCAAAGCAAAGCTACATCCCGAACCATGCTACAAAAGCGTAATCATCCGTTTGGCCAACACGGAATGAAAATACTCAATGGACAAGGAGAATTCACAAGTACATACATATTATAACGACGCAGCAGCGTGTAAATTTTAAAAAACGTAGAATAATTGCTACGGGGGGGGCGCTGCTTTTGTGAACCTTTGCTTATTTGGATTATCACTGGGGTATCCCTGCGTATCTAAATTTCCACATTCATATCTATGTACCAACACTGTCGTAAAATCGAATGCTTCCACGAGTTTCCCTGCGTTTCCCCTTTTATGTAGATCAAGTGGGGAAGAACAAAAAAAAAAAAAAAAAAAAAAA